AATAGTATTCTGTTGCATGCATTCTGTCACATACAACATTTACATTGTCCTTTCACCTGTTAATGGATAGGTTGGTTACACCTCTTGGCTATTGTAAACAATGCTTCAAGGAACACGAGCGTGCAAATATCTCTGTGAGATCCTTTCTCAGTTCTGGGTAAATGCTCAGAAGTAGTATTCCTGGATCAAGTGAAATTTCAGTTTGTAATGTTTTGAGACATTGCCATAGCATTCCTATAGGGATTAAAACACCTCACCTTCCCACCAACAATGCACAAAAGCTCTAACTTCTCCTCGTCCTCCCCAGTGCTTGTTCTTTTTGATGATGGTCATTCTACAGGTGCGAGGCCGTATCTCCTAATGATTCTTACCCTTTGTTTTAAATGTAGCATGATCTTGCCAGTCAAGTGTATTTTCCCCCGACTAAGGAGACATTCAGATTGGCAAAAGATGACTGTTTATGGCTGTAGTTTTCTTCAAAGGTAAAACTGAACTCCTGAAAGTTATTTAGGTTAAAAACAATGTGCTGGACAGATAAGCGCTACTGTGTGCAGCAGGGGCAGGGTTTGGTGCTAGAAATACCAGCATGACCCCCATGGCTCCTGCGCCCTGTGCAACTGTGAGGCCAGCCTGGAAACAATGCAGCCACAGCAGCCCAGGAGAGTGAGGAGCAGAGGAGTGAGCACAGGGCCTGTGTGCTGGAGCAGCTGGCTTGCAGGGCATTGGGACCAGGGGTGTGACATCAGGCAAGGATAGGGATGGTGGGAGAAAACCACAGGGCTGAGGTCTGATGCCCAGGTCCCACCGAGTGGCCCATGTGGTGAGAAGGAATGGGAAATGACTTAGGGGCCCAGAGCCGGCTCACTAGTATCCCTGATTGTACCCTCTCAGGTGCTGCCTCTCATAGTCATATCTCCCTGGGGTGAGCATGTTGTCAGGAGCAGAGTGAAGCCCCATACATGCTTCTCCTGCATCCCAAACCTCAGCCCCAGCATGGTCCAGAGCTCCCAGCTCCACCAGCTAAGGCTTCTCTGGAGGAGCAGAGGGCAAGGGCAGTGATTAGGGAGGAGAGGAGTGGGGCTCAGCCTGAGGATGGCGGGCAGTGGTCCAGAGCAGAGTGACCCTGCAGGTTCAGCCCCTGGACCCCTCTGCTAATCTCATCATATCTGCCCCCTCCCTCGCCCCCGTCACCCTGTGAACCACACACCTACCATCTCCACCTTCCATCCTTCCTGCCCCAGTCCACAGCCCAGCCTTTTTGTCCCAGAGGGAGCCCCTTATCTTTGCAAGACACCCTGGTGTGTCTGGCTGTCCCAACTCATCACTGTCACCTTCCTGGCTGCCACTGTCCCCAGGGGCCTCGATGTCCAGCTCTTGATGTCTTTCTGCTGCCCTTGAGCTCTGTAAGTCATGTGTGTCCTTTAAATTTCTTTCTACTTTGTTATTTTTAAAAACTTCTACAACTGAAAAAATGATCAAGACTCCTTCCTGCAGCTCGCGGGGCTCAGAGGCGTCCTGTTACTATTCCCATAGTGTGAGAGGCCATGTGTGTGGACCAATCACACACTAGGGTAGTGATGCTTTCCTAATGCCATGTGGCTTCATTAAGGGAATTGGGTTAACAGAGAAATGCTGGGCTTGCAAAGATGAAAAGGAGGCGGTCCCCCATTCCCTATGCCCTTGTCCCACTGAGTCTGGGTGCAGCCTGTCCCCTAGGAGGACAGGGTGGAGGGATGCTCCACTCACGCCAGCTTGTCATCTAGCTAACCCACAGTGAGATCCAGACGCCTTCAACAATGGTGCTCACTGAGCCAGGATCCTCATCTTACAGATGCACAAGGAGGTTAGAGAGAGTAAGCGATTGGCTCAAGACACACAGCAATTCCAGCTCCTAAATTCAAAACCAGCTCTGTTGTATACTCAAAGAATAACAGGAGGGGAAAACCTCTGTTCTCTGTTTTCTGGATCTCTTGTTCCATCTCTGAGAGGAAAGGTGGGCGCCGGCCAAGTGCACAGAGGTCCCTTTCTACCCTGACCCTGGCTGCCTCCCACTGTGGCCCTTTTGGACCTGTTAAAAGCTGTGAGCGCCCAGCAAGCCATCTCATTTACTGCCTGTAAAGAGGACTTGGCAGGAACCTGACTGTCCCTAACCGTCTTTTGGCAGATAATTATTCCCTGAATTAAAGATGACTTCTACATTTTCCATTTTAAAATGTTCTATGTCCCTGGCAGTGGTTCTGTACATAGAGGTGTCTATAAAAATTTTTGAGATCTCATATAAAAAGCCCAGGTGAAAATAGGAGCTGTTTCTTTAATTTTTCTTATACAATTTTTTAAGAAATGTTTTAATATTCCATTCAACTCTTCCTTCCCTTGTCTCCTCTTTCTCTCTCACTGGTTCTGAAAAATCAGTGCAGCTATAAATATGCAGAATGTAGAAAGCTGACTTTTCCTATATCTAATAAAAACCTTGGGGAGTAATTGAAATAACTTGGCGTGGGTAGTCAGGTTCCATGCTGCATAATATCAAAAGAAAATCCATAGCAAGGAGAAGCAACGGGAAAGAGGAAGAGGGGCTGCAGAGTAAAACCAGGACATTAAATAATGAGCAGCTATGAAGATCTAAAAAAAATCCTTTCAGAATTACATTCTTAGAAAAATAGTCAAGAGGCATCTTCAGAGAAGTAACACTAGACAAGGTGTACATCGTATGCACATCTGAGGACTGAAGATTCAAAGAAAAGGAAGGAAATACCCCCTCCCTGCATCTGTTCTTTAGACAAAGTCTGACAGAAGCCACAGGCGTCCATCAAATCTTGACACACGTGTCTTTTCAGGAGGAGGGCTCCTCCCACCTCCTTCTCTTTTCATCTCCACAGCCCAAATTTTAAAGGAGTATTGTTAAGGCAGCAGCACACGCAAGGAGAACTGGCTACTATCAGTTGTCTGGGGGTGTCCTTTGGAGTCTCTTCTTCTGGCTATATATTTAACAAATTATTCCTGCATTCATTATGAGTAGGACGGTAACATTGATGTGTCTGCGTTCTGGGAAAGAGAGAGATGCTGCCATTGAAATCACATGGGGAGAGAACAACTCATGCTTGGATTTCTTGGTGAACAACTTGGATTTCTGGAAGCATCTTGCTTCTCATTATCCTGCCATTACTTGAGGATACCTTTAGCTGTATTACCAATATTACTAGTATTATTACTAGTATTATTATTACTAGTAATATTACTGGTATTGCTAATTCTGGACTCAATGACTTTCCAGGATTTGTAAAAAGTTTTTTTTTGTATAAAAGAAAAGAAACCTTTTGGAAACAGAAAAATAGGAAAAAAAGCAATTACCCATAACCCAGCAAACATAACAATTTTGGAGTATTTTCTAGCAATCTTTTTTACCTAAGAACAGTTGGATTTTTTTTTCTTTTCCACTATGGTTGAAGTTGAACCACTGTTTTAACTTTCTAAATAAAAAATAAAAAGACTATTAGCCATCATTTTCTAGAGCTGCATAATACTCCATGCAAATGAGGTTTCATTCTTTTTTTGTGTGGCTTGCGTCGGAAGAGAGTGATAGTGGTAGTGTTGAAGGCTATTTTTCTACCTCACTAAAGGAAATTATTCAGCAAGGAGCTGCATCTGTGATGATTATTGCTGTTAGTTGGATCATAACTGTCAGTTGTGTGTATGTGCACACAGGTAAGATTGACCACTTTCTACAGCTCATCTTAGCTCAGGGACCATGGGCATATTATCTTTGTTGGTGTCTGAGTGGAGCTAGGAATCAGGGTAGGAATTTCAGCTCTGTAACTGAATCCTGGAACAAGCTTCTTGGCCTGTGCCTCTGTTTCCTCAGCTTCAACAATGTGGAAATCCTTATAATTCCTCTCTTCTGAGAAATATATTTTAACACATTTGATAATTGGGTTGGGTGCTGCCATCAATGTGTACATAATAATTTTCCTTCCTTTCTCCTCCCTCCACATTTTCCAGAGCTATTACAATCAGCAGAATCATAGTACTGAAGAAATATAATAATATTTGTTTGACAGCATTTGTGTCCGACAGCATTTGTGTGGAATTTTTGGCACTTAAGGTAGGCATTCAATCAATGGCAGCTACTATGTATGAGTTAAAAATTTATGTTATTCTTAGAATACTGGAACATTGGTTCTGTGCAGAATATTTATTTTTAGAAAGGCATTATTTGCAGGTAACATATTTAGTTAAAACTCACGCTGCTTGGAAAATTCCTTCACATCCTTCGTTAATTAGAAAGGGCACAGGGATGGCAAATAGGCTTAATGTCATGTGCCAAGGCTAATCGACTGCTGATGATTCTCAGACGTGCTTCAGTGTGAGAATCACTGAGGCAGACTGGGTGTAGCCAGCAGAGCTGCCAGGGCAGATTACTAATATGCTCTCCAGGCCTGGGAAGATGGAATGGTGACACGCACTGTATTTGCTACCTCTACATGACGGTGTCACAAAACATTACCTGGGGATTCATTAGGCATCAGCCAGGCTTCGGTTTATCAAATAGGTGTTTTATCAAAATTCTGGGCCAATAGATTACCTGCAGGTCCAAGGTGGGAGATCAAAACTCACACAAGTAAAATTTAAGACTTCAACCTCAGCAGGGACTTTGCCCCACTGGGGATGGTAGGGCTTTTGTGGTGACCTTGATTTTGGCCCAGCCCTTGAGCTAATGCTCACTAAGGTATGGACTCCTGAGTCCTGAATATCTTGCACCATGGCCTTTCTAGATATTGCTGTTGGGTGACTGAGTGACACTCTAGATCTTCCCCTTGCCTGAGGCTGGTGCTACGGGTATATAGCCTAAGATCAGGGCACTTGTACCCCAAATAGTGTTGCAAGGGAGACTGTTCATTTTATTCTGGTCTTTGTTGTTTCATTTTTTAAAATTAGTACTGACCAAACAGAATCAACCATTACAGGCACTTTGATGAAGGCTTAGGTAGAAAGCTACCTACCATTTCTTGAAATGTTCTGGTAATCTCTGTGGTTACAGCGGTTTCTTTTCCGTAAACGAAGGTAAATAGATTTTTCTTCCATCCTGAAAAAAATACATTTGTATCTATTTAATGTCAAGATATTCAGTGATGAAGCCTAAAAAAATTTTTTTGGCATGATTTTTTGGAAACTGTAGTGAAAATGAATTCAGAAAATCATAACTTCACTGATATGTGCTCCCTGAACTGTGAGTGAGTTACTGGGAATTCTAAGTAGTCCTACAAAATGAGTTACATCGATATGGTCAGAGTATTGTTGAAGAGATCAATATTTTTCTTTCATAGGAAGATCCCTGGAGCTGTCTCTTTCTAATCTTTTTACCAAGGAATGCAGTAAATTTCTTGAGCAATTATTCATCTTTATTAATACTGTTGTTTAGAATCTGATTATTGCCTTCATTCTTTTGATTACACACACTCTTGTCCGTTAGATCCCCTCTACCTTTCCTATGTTGTTGTAGAGTTGTAGGCAGGACTCATGTTTGTTCAGAATGATGACTGGGTGGCCAGCTTCTCTTGCAGCTAGGAGCAGCCTTGTCTCTAAGTTCTGGATGATAAGATCAAATTAGAAATATCCAGTGGCAATTTCTGGTAATATTCATTAGGAAACAACTAGATACTGACTCCTGATCCTTTTTGTCCCTTTTTCCCCCATTCCATTTCCCATAAGAGTCATGCTGCCATCTTGGATGATGGAGAAAAGGTCCATGTTGGGAAAGCAGAGGGGTAAGTTGCAGGAGCCTGGACCTCTGGGCACTGAATGGAGTCAAGCTCTTGTACCAGTCCCAGCTGCACATTTCTGAAGTTTCTTTTTGTGTCAGAGAAATAAACTCACGTATTTTCTTATTTAAACCACGTGTATGTTGACTCTCTTACTTCTAGATAATGGACTAATTAGTGTTACTATTATTAATAGGCACAGAGCTTAGAGACAAATTTGATATGAGTATCAAACCATAATTATACATATTTTAAGCATTTTTGACTTCTCTTGGTCCCATATTGATTTTTCTATTTTCTTTTGCCAAGATTTTAATTTAAATGTAACTGAATGTTGTATTGTCTATACTTTTACAGACTTCCTGAAATTCTTTTTGAAATATTACCAGATGTAAACTAATAATATATGTTCCATTACTTTTCAAGTGTATCTTCTCTTTAGTATAAGTCTGTATCTCAACCTTACACACAATCACCCTTTTTTTGATTATTCTGTAAATCTTATTGCATTCCAGTACTTGGAAACTGCTTCCTGTGCTCAAAAAAGGTAAGTATATATCATGTCTGGGTATTTGGAACTTGTTGAAAGAATCCTTTTTAAAATCTGGGGAAACTAATAACAACATTTCTTAACAGAAGACCAACATGCCTGAGCAATATTTTAAGTATGGGTTTTTTGATATATATAAATATACATTTATATTTCTCAAATCAAAGCTTCTTATGGTCACAGCTTAAAAGTCAAATTGATTAGCCAGTGTCTTGGTTACTTTTCTCTCATTGCTGAGAGAAAATACACAACGCCCAAAATTAGGAAGGAAAGGTTTACTTAGCTTATAGTTTGTGGAGGTTTCAGTCTATAATCAGCTTGCTCCAAGGCAGGGTGGCATGACACAGAAGCAACAGCTCAAGATGACAGAGGACAGCAAAAGCAGCAAGAGCACAAGGGGAGGGGAACGAGCCTCTTCTCCTTCCTTATATTGTAAACAGACTGCCCCCACCCAGGGGGGCGTGTCACACTCACATCATCTCCAGGCCCTCCTCTTGCACAGGCTCAGGATGAATACAAAGTAAGGACACTGGCTCCCTGCTGAGTCACATAGTTAGCCTTCTAAACTTCTCAAGTTGACACAGTAAATAACATCCCAGAGTGGTAAGGGTATGTCCTTTTCACCCCAGGAAGTAGAACTGCTGAGTTACTTAGCCAAGCCTCTAGATTCCTCAAGTTGACACAGTGTATCAAACATAATAGCCAGGCAGGGTGGTGTAAGCTTGGAATTCCAGCTCTATGGGAGACTGAGTCAGGAAGGTCATAAATCTGAGCCTGGCATGGGCAACTAAATGAGACCCTATCTTAAAATTAAAAAAAAAAAAAAAAAAAAGGTAGTGGATGTAGCTCAGTGTGAAGACCCAGAGTTCAATCACCACTACTGCGGAATGAATGAACAAACAAATTAATTTACTCAAGAGATGTTTGTTGAGCTCCTGCTATGTTCCACACTATTCATTTTAGGCATTTATGTTATAGTGAAAAATGGATAAAAGAAAGATTCCCACTTGTGTTATTGATATTCAGTAGGAAAAAAACAGATAAAAACACTAAACATCATAGATAAGAAAATTATATTAGAAAGTGATAAAGTCTATGGAAGAAGAGGTGATTAGGAGGAGGGAAAGGAGATTAAGATTAGAGTAGATGCAGGAAGTCTCAATGAAAAGTTAAATTTGGACAATGACTTCAGGTGGTGAGCCTTATAGAAGGAAATAGTTTATTTATGTATATAAATAGCAATATCATACTTCTTCCCTTCCTCATATCTGTATTCCTGGAGGCAACTAATTTAAATTTAATTGGGTGAATTTCTGTATTTTCTCCTTATCTCTAAATAATAAGCTTTTAAAACCACTTCTTGGTTCTTAGTCTTTGATACTGTTCACTTCCTACTCTGGAAGAGGAGCATTTAGCTATTCACAGCTGATCTATAATTGCTGTTTCTTTATGGCTTTTTTATTTTCCTGGAGTCAGTAGTTGCCTTTTGTTTCTTTGCCTAATTTTACAAGTATTTATTGTTACTTTACTCTCAAATCTTCTACTGTTGTTTGATCTCCTCTCAGTGAACTGTCATGTATCAAATAGTTTATTATTAATGTTATCTTCTTTGTGGATATCTCTCCTGGAGCTTCAGCTTGGACCTGTTATCCTTGCTGTGGTGCAGCAGATCTCCTGGGTGCTCCTGTCTCTATTGTCACTTCCTCCTGAGTTGTTAGATATTCTGTTTCATGGAAGGTTCCATTTTTCCTATATTGTATGGAGAATACTTTTAAGTAACTTTGAGGGGTGAATGGGAGATATCATTATCCTTTTCAACACTTGTATATCTGAAAGCGCTTTTATTCTTTGATGTGATTTTTGGTGAGGTAAAAGGTGGGCCCAGAAACATAGCTTACACTGTAAATATAACTGCCAATGAGGTTCACAGGACTTGGGAAAAACTTGAAGTGGAGAAGGGGCAGAGTCCACATCACACTGGGCTCTCATTATCCTATTGGAAAATTTCTCAGAAAGGGCACAGCTGGGTTCAACATCTCTGGGACAGGAACTATACTGATTGGCATTCTGCATATTATTGAAGAAAAGAGGTTGAAATATGTCTGTGTAATAATAATAGACTTTTTTGGTACTGGGGATTGAACCTGGGCCTTCATACTGAGCTGTACGCCCATTTTCATTTTTTCTTTTGAGATAAGGTCTTACTCAATTTCCAAGGCTGGGGTCAAACTTGCAATCCTCATGCCTCAGCCTCCCAGAGTTTTGGGATTAAAGACAAGTGCTACCACAGTGGACTGTAGTAGATTTTTTATATAGGGAACTGTTTTATTTAGAGGGGGTGCCCCAAACGTGATGAATTAGCTTCTTGCTAAGCTCCCAAAGAGTGAAGGAAATTATCATTCAGGACCATTAGAGTTTTCCTCTTTGACTGGTGTGGCAGCTTGAAGACAGCCACCCTATCCTTGACACCTCTACTTTTGAATGGGCTGGTCTATGACTTTTTTTGACTAATAGGGTATAGTAAAATGACAACTTTGGCTTTTAAAAGCCCTGGCAATTTTTGACTTGTGTAGCCCTGAAACATCATATAAGGCAGTGTGACTACCCTGCTATGGACACTAAAGGAAGCTACCTTGAAGACAAAATTTCCTTCAGTAGTTCAGTAAATGGACAAACTGGTGTGTCCATACAACTGGCTATTTAGTGATAAAAGGAAATGAGCTACAAGCCACAAAAAGACATGGAAGAACTAAGTGCATATCATTAAATGAAGATGCCAACCTGAAGACTACATAGTATGTGATTCCAATTAGAGACCTTCCTTGACTTACAGAGGAGAGACAGTCCAATAAATCCACTTAAGTTTACAGAAAACTTGGGCTGAAAATGGAAACTACAAAGAACTTCCATACATCTCCTCTTCAAATTCCCTATTATCAGCATCTTGTGTTAAATATGGTGTATTTGTTACAATGAAAAGCCATGTTGATACGTTATTAAGGTCCATGGTTTACATTATGATTCATCTTTTCTGTTGCATGTTCTGAGTTTCAACAAAGGCATATATCCACTGTTATAGACTCATACAGGCTAGATTATCATTGCCTTAGAATCTACTGTATTTCCTTATTCTTCTTTCCCTTTCTCCACCCAGACCTCTAGTAACCCTAAAATTGTTTAAAAAATAAAGTGTAATGAAAAAAGAAAAATGGCCCTACATGGAAAGGAAGGAGGACCCACTGAATTTCACCTTCTAGTCAGTTACCCTTCCCAGGTACCATTATTGAAGTGAGGCCATTTTGGATCCTCCAGCCCAGTCTGACCATTGCACGGATACCACTGAGTAACCAAGGTCAATGTCATGTGGAGAGAAAGAATTGGCTATCCAAGTTCTTCCTGAATTCCTTGCCTTCAAAATTGTGATTATTGTTTAATGATTATTGTTTTAAGCCACTAAAGTTCAGAGTACTTTGTTACAATAGATAACCAAACAGTTGGCTGTAGAATTCTAGTTTAAGATGATTTTCCTCAGAAGTTTGAAGTAACATATCCACTAATTCCAGCCCCCAATGTTAAGTCTGAAGCTATTGTGTGTCTTGACATTTTGGAAGCCTGCAGTAATACTGTACCCCAAGTGCTCTAAAATGTTATGGCAGTAGGGTTCATGTGGGTCTGTTTTCATTTATAGTGTTAGACATTTGACAGACCCTCTCAACCTAGAACTTCATGTTATTGTAGTAAGTTCTGAGAGATGTTCTGGAATAATTCACTGAT